ATTTTCTGTCACAACAATGGCCGCCGGTGTTACAAAAGGTTTAGCCACGAGGCGGCGGCCGTCGGCTACCACCGCGGACAATGAGAACGGCCGCGTTACGCCGTAAATTGATTTGCGAAAGCGTTCCTGAAAAAGCCCTCCGCGGAGAGAAACTCCGGGCCCGCCGCCGTACGTGCCGGGTAGGTCGACGGTGAAGGGTGGTGGCTCCGGGTGGTGGCGCGAGCTTTTGAGCTTATACCGCAAAAATTACGTCGCGGCAGGGATTGTATTTATGTTACATAATTACGCCACGCGCGCCCCGCGCGACCGACCGCGGATAGAGAGACCGACCACGGAGGAGGATGGCGGCGGCGGCGGCGGCGGCGGCGGCGGCTGCGAGCGCGAGCCAGAAGAGAGGGCAAGAGGAAGGGAGGAGGAGGAAGGGGTTGGAAAAAAATCGCGGCTCTGGCCGAGGAAAAGTTTTTCGGCGGTCGGGTCGGCCCGACCGAGCGCGAACGAGCAGCGCCATCCGGGCTAATGAATAGAAATAATTCTCGCGCAATTGTGCTTTTCGGTAGTTTTCAATTAACACTCGCCGAGCCGGCGCGGAAACGCGCCGAATGGCGCGACGCTGCACAGCTTTAAGTTTTTATACCGCGCGAATGCCGCCGCCTCGCGGCTCGTAATTATAATTTTCTGTCAGGCTGGGGCGAGGGTGCGCGCGCGGAGATCGCTTCCTTTTTTTCTCTCCCCGCATTCTCGCCCTTTGTTCTTTCTATTTTTTTTTCTTTTTTTTTTCGTAGGGATGCAACGGAAATATGCGCCGCGATTTTCTGAATACGCGCGTGTTTCCGCGCGATGAATCGGTAGGTCTCTTTGTGCGCCGCAGATTCGCGGGAATACGTCGGGATATCCCTCTTTGGATTTTTTCAGAAACTTGTCGGTTGCTTACGATTGGAAGCGATAAATTTTATCTCGCAGTCGATTAATATTATTAATATTATTCATCTTGCAAATTAAAATACGTATACAATATATATACACAAAATGTTTACACAATTGTGACATTTGAAAACCACATCGCGCAATGCGATGCTTCACCTTTAAACACATATTGCAACTGGTTTCTAAATCCGGTGTATATCTCATTCCAGCGGAATCTCTCTCTCTCTCTCTCTCTCTCGGCGACTGTCGGCGTCGCGCGGAATCCCGCAAAATAAATCGCGTCTCTCGCCCGGTGATCCACGGTAATATTTGTCTTTCATCGGGTCATTTTACAAGATTCCCTATCTACTATCCGACTTTTTAGACAAGAAAGGCAAAATCGAGAGCGGCCACGGGTGCGCTCCTCCTCGGCGAAGGACACGCACTCTCATCGTGACAGGGTTGAAAAGGGAGTGCCCTCTCGTGATTTCCCTGACTTGTCGGGGCTGTGGGATACGGAGGACGGGGCTCCCGTGGGATAAAACTGGCTATCGGTTGCTGAATCTGCGTGGAAATGTAAAGGCACCCTGACAAATCGGTTTCTATTACCGGACAGCGGCGGGGGTCGTCGTTTTTTTTTTTTTTTTTTTTTTTTTGTATATTGATGACATTATTTCGCGCGGCCACATCCGCCTTCCTCGACGCGACGGATTTTCTTAGCGTATTTTCCCCGAGACGATTTTTCTCGCGCAAGAAAAAAAAACACAATAACAATCGAATTAGAAAGAATCGGATTTTCTTTCGGTCGTGCGAAAACGATAGTCAATTATTCTCCGAACATTGTTACGGACACGGTTTGCGTAACGTTTCGCTGAAATTGCGCCGTAATTCTTCCTCGTGTTTCTTAACGTTGTGATATTACTTTTTTTTTTTTTTTTTTTTTTTTTTACATCTCACACACGTGCGCGTTACACGTGTGTAACAGCGTGGAATTTGCTTTTGATTTACAATTAAGATCGCTCGTTACTTTTATTGCAGTTAATGGAACGATTGACCACGGAATTCCCAGCGCATCTCTCCTCTCTCTGGTGCCCTCTGACAGAATATAATCGGGCGCGTAATCATCCCATTGTTTGCCGAGAAATTAAATGGACAGTACATTCGTGTTGCCGGAGTGCTCGCGCGCGGACGATTGTCACAACGTTCGATAATAGCATTTATTATTGCTATTCGCATTTTTGTTTAACCGCTCGTTCGTCACGGACGGAGACCGGTTATACCTCCGATCTCTCCGAATCGCTCCCGTACAATCGATTAATTTGTTACCCTTTTGCCCCTCCACATCGGAGAATCAATTTTATTGCCACTTCTAATTTATTGTCAATCATGACGGATTTAGACGTTAAAACGTTAATCCGATTTAACAACTTGCAAAATCGCGACATCGATACCGATGGATATATTAAGGTAATATAATATCACGCGTAAAGATGTGTGTGTGTGTGTGTGTGCAAAGCGCACATGCTATATATCGTGACAGATCGAGAAATATATATTTCTGTGCCATGAATTGATAAAATAATGAGCATTTTATATGTGCATTAATTATTAACCGCGCGTGTTGTATATGCGGATCAATAATAATTGCGTTTATTTTGAAGACGTTTTTCTAAAATTTTACCTAAAGACGGTTAAATTTTTCTCTCTTTCGAGAAATCTTCGATCGAGACGAGAGAGAAAAAAGATACTCTCATTTGTAAAAGAGACAATATTGCAATTAGATGCAAATATAATAATAATAATAATAATAATAAATTGCGATCGAAATAAATACGCGCACGTAAGAAAGTCAATTACAAATGGGCGACCCACTCCATTGTGCTCTTCTCTGCGGGATGTGCTGCCGCGAATTGTTACAATGCCATATTGGCCGAGAGCTGATTTTTTCGCGGCTGGATAAAATATTTATTTATAATTAGCACAAAGGAGAGAGCGTTATCGCGAATTATTTTCAGCCGCGCGATCGCGAACTATACAAAAGTGAATAAATATAACGTAAAAAATGTTAATTGTCGTCAGCACTGGGCGTCACCGGGAGAACACAAAGAACAAAGGTATATAATGATATATCGATGGTATATTATTATTATCAGTTTCAGGGAAACGCAAATTTCCCGGAGGCGGGAAAAGCGGCTCCCGCGGCCGCTCTGCGCTTTTTAAAAATAAATTCGAACGAAAGAAATATCAATTAACACGCTCAATAACGCAAGCAATATCCCGAGCGTTCATCCGAAACCACCCTCTATGCGGTTAGTACGCGGCCAGGCAGGAACGCGCTACAACCGTGTACAAGAGGATAAAGCAAACCCCCCTACTCGACTCTACGGGTAGCAAATAATTAGTATCTTAGTAATATCGGGAAATGCGCGCGAGGCCAGCCCCGACTTGGCATCTTAATTAATTAAAACTACTGACTGAAACTATTATCGACTGCGTATTAAATTACAAAACCTGGCCCCGTTTCTCTGTGATTATTCAAATATTAAATTCAAAATAACATCGCACATCGACTAGCGAGAAATATTGTATAATAAGTTAATTGATCGAGAAATCGAGAAAAGCTAAGGCGGAGGGGGGAGGGATAGCGCACACATCTGCTTGTTTAGAACAATCGGACATTCTCTTCTCTCATTCAGTAGCAAGCAGGAAAAACAGAGAGCTCGTGTAAAACGCTCTCTTCAAACAAGTCAACTTCCGACCCGCTCACACCGGCGATAACCCACACTATTGCAGTTTCAGTTACGTTTTAATTAGCTAGAATACTAATGCACCGCATGAACAAGTAGCCAATGAATGCTGTGTTGACCCGTACGCATTCCGAACGCCAAGCCAACTACACACACACACACACATTCTCTCTCTCTCTCTCTGTCAGCCACCGCGCCCCCGCAAACATCCAGAAACTGGCACGCTCCATTCAGACCGTATATACACACAACCGTGCATCGAAATACATGGTGAAAAAAAAAACGCAAGTATTCCCGCAGTTAGTCATTTACATTATTAGTCTCTCGCAATTCCGAGAAGTACGAGGATTATGCATGTGTCGTGTGGCGATTAACTCGCCAGCTAACTTTGCGCATAAAAAGGTAATTGAGTTTTACTGCAATATAGTGTTGCTTATATACACACATAAAAAGATTGTGTGCGTGTGAAAGAGAGAGAGAGAAAAAACTTTTTGTGATAACAATAAAACATATGTTACCACGTACTCTCTTTTGCCACGTACAGACCACGTAAATGCAAATCAATAGAAATAAAGCAATGTTTCGAAGAATACAAAGTGTCCTTAGATAAAATTCCGATTTGTCGCAACGGTTGCTTTGCCGATTCGACGTGAAAAGCGATAATTCTAAAAAAGGTCCTGGCGGGGACTGAGATGCTTGGGAAAACGACGACGTAAAATACGCGGCTCAGATAGGGAAGAGAGAGGGTTGAAAGGAGCAGCACGTGGGATCGAGGGCGCGCGTTTTCCTCCCCTTCGCTTTAGGGGACGAGACATCGATAATCGTGTTTGTTGTACGACTGCCGATACGAAACTTCAGGAATGCCGCTCTCGGCTGAGAAGCAGAGGGAGGTTTACGACTTAAGAAGTATTATGTCACCCGAATATTCGCGCGACATCCCCGCTCTCTCTCTCTCTCTTTCTCTCTCATCCCTCGCTCCTCGCCACCGTGGCTCGGCCAAATCGCGGTTCCTTATATGCATCGGAGGGGTTTGTGCGACGGCAAAATTTTGACAACGCGCTCGTCGTCAACAGCCATAACGTTTTAGGGTCGTCGCATATAAAGGACGAGATCTCTGATCGAAAATTTACGAAGGCGTGGGAGAAACTTGGATCGCGCGACGAAAGTTTTAATATTTGTTGTCTAAATATTAAAATCGAAGGAGAAGTTTGTACGACGTGCGGTGTCGATCTCGCGAAACCTCACGATAAATTTTTAAATTATTTATAAAAAAAAAAAATACAAGTATCAGCGCGCGCAAAATCTCTCTCGACTGGCTGAAAAAAAAAAAAAAAAAATATTTGCACTCACATCAACAAGCCACGTCACTGTGTCTCAGAAGCCAGGGAAGTATACACCACTGACCTGAAACAAAACGCACAAATGAATCGTTAGTTTAAAATAATAATAATAATAACGATTTCAATATTTTAAATAACGCGCGTTCGCGCGTATTTTCTCTAAAATTAATACAAAGATAAAATGGCTATTCGGCTGACAAAGAGACGTAAAAATATGAAAAAGAGCATAATGGGTAATCTCTCGCAACGCACGCAACGTGCGGGAGAGCCAACCCGCAATATTCATTCCGCCAGCAAAGAACAATACTCTCTCTCGCGTCTGAGACTATCAATCCCATTCGAAGCCATTACACGGCGCATCCTTCGACTCGACAGTGCCGTTAATTAACGAACTCGAAAAGTACCGCGCGCAGAAAGTCCCGTTCGTCTCGGAGCGCCGGCGGAGCGAAGTGGTGCGGGTCCGCCACACGCATCGGGCAGGGGTGGACGGAGAGAGAGAGAGAGAGAGAGAGAGAGAGCGTAGGACGGAAGCGCGCGCGTATAAAGGGTCGGTGTCTGGCCAGACGGGCAGAAATGAAGCAGCAAGGGTTTTGTTTGTCCGGCTGTCCACCCCTTTCCTTCCTCCGTTCAAGCCCTACCCCCGTCGCGAGTACCGTAGCTACGCTCTCTCTGCGAGCCCTGTGGCACCCTTCACCCCCTTCTTCATCACCTCTTCCACCCCCTTTCAGCTTCAGCTTTCTCTCTCTCTTTCTCTCTCTCTCTCTCTCTATCTCTCTCTTTCTCTGAGCTTCAACCCCTCCTTATACCGTCCGTCCGACTCACCGTGCCGTGTAACAATGCACGTGTGTACACTGTTTGCCCACATCCTCGCGCATATATCTTCGCGAGCTATAATATTGATTACTTCGGGCGAATTTCAGGCCGAGCGGCGCGCGAGCTGAGACCGTTTCTCCGACTCGAACTCCGCCGCGTTGCGCCGACAACCCCCTACGCGAGCCATCCCCGCAACGCGAGCCAGCCTTCAGTCAATCTCTCGTTGTCGACACCATACCTCTACTCCCGCCCCTACCTCTCCTACCAAACATCCCACCAACATTCGTCGTCGCAATGCAGACTTCTCGCTTTTACGTTTTGACGACTCGGGCCTGGGTCGTCTCTCGGTTTTGTCACCGCATCTTGAAACAACGGATGAGCGTACAATGCCGCCGCGATAGCGTAAGAAAAAAAAAAAAGAAAATTACACGCTACACGGAAATTTTTACGCACACACACACACACACACATACGAAACACTTTTCTTTATAATATATAAAATTAAAACGTGGGCGATGTTGTAAAACTCGCACATAATTAAAAGACATAATTAGTTCCCTCTCTCAATATTTTTCCTCTCGCATCACACAACCCCCTTGAGCGGCCAATAAAATCCGCGAGTTTTCTACCGGCGAGAGAGACCGACCGACCGACCTTTCAAATGCAACGCGTATTTAAAAGCCCGAGTGGCGCGCATATGAAAAAGTATAAACGAAAAGCGCAACAATACCAAAAATCCGTTATAACTATTGCGCGCGTAATGTCTCTGAAAAGAGCCGTTCGTTCGTTTCGTTCCGGCGAATACCACGCGCGACTTAAATTGCGTCACGGTCCTTCCAGCTATCCTGGCGAACGTTTAATTCTATTCGCGAACCACCCTCCGCTCTGCTCACCCTCCCTCAGAGCTCCGGGCCTCTCCTGGTCTTGCATCACGTCCGTATGTCGCGAATCGAAGTACAAAGAAGCAATAGTAGAAATAAGATAATTGCTATTACAATCGCAATTTCATCCAGGACGACGGAACCTTGGAAAGAGAGACGCGGAGCGGAGAGCGGGAGAGGAAAAACGAGAAACGCGCGCGGCGGAGAAACGGAGAAAGAACGACCGCCGCAGAGAGCTGAACTACAAAGTACGTTAATGTCGTGCTCACACCCCCGTGCACCCCCAGCGCCATTCCGATGCCGCAGACAGTTTGTTGTCGAAGCTTCGGGGATTACACAAATGAGGTTGTTCAGCGGGAGAAATGTACATTCCGCTACAAAGCCGGCCGCGCGCCGCCGCCGTGTGCCACGCACGGAATTAAAAACCGGGGTGGAAGAGCGAAGGTGAAAAGTGCCGCTCTGCCCGCGATCGTCCTCTCTCTCTCTCTTTATCTCTTTTTCTCTCTTTCTCTCCACCCTCCTCGCCCGCTCGACCGCCCGCCCCCTTCGCGGACAATATTTTCTTTGCTGAAAGCCGGCGCGCCGTAGAATGGATTTTCATCGGAGCGGCGTTTGAGCCCTTCAAGAACGGAATTCGTTTTTATCGGATACGCGCGTACTCTCTTCTCTCACATCGGAATATCGCCGCGACGACCGGTGTAGTTTTTAAAAATAGCATCCTTCGACCGTCGATCGTCGCCGTCAGCGGCTTGGACATATTGCGGCGCGCGTTGACGCGCGTCGTCGACTAAAAATCTACGATGCCATTTTCGCGTGGAAGCCCCGGCAAATCACGTCGCGTCGTCACGTCGCACTGCGTCGGTTTCGAATTAATCGCCGCTCGCTCGTCACGAGTGAAATGCGAATACGTTTAACGTACGGGGAAAGGGTTCGCGCGCACACTTCATTGATCCGTAATTCAACACCTAAACCTGTGTAATGTACAATTTGTCAAGTTGATTGTTTGCACTTTGTTTTTTTTTTTTTTTTTACTAAGGCTGTAAACAGTTAAAACAAACTTGACGAAAGCCTTGCTCGTCCTTTACGAGAAGAGGCGATAATAAATCTCTCTCCGCAAGTTTGTTCGTTTGCGCGCTTCGGAAGCGAGCAAGACGGCAAGTCGTTGAGTTCGCGATAGCGAACGTAGGCGGAAACTAGTTAGGTCGCAGACCGATCCCCCTCGGTGGGGGGGTTGCAACGGAGGTCCTGAGCACCGTAGGGACCGTAGGGATAGTAATTGTATACGTACTGGGAGAATGGCAAGGTAAACAAAACTATGTAAGATTGCCCTATTAATATACATATCTCTCGGTTCAGTCGGGCGGCGAGAGAGAAGCCAAACCCGGAGCCGCCAATGGGGTGGGTAGTCTTGGCCTCAGACTTTGGGGTTAGGCTCGCTCGAGAGCAAGGAGGGTACACAATGGATATTGAGACCATAATTTATGGCTGATTGTTAGCCTCGCGATCTATGGATTCCTACGTCCCGCCGCACGTCTCTCTCTCTCTCTCTCTCTTTCTCTCTCTCCGCTTTGCGCGCGTAAGGGGATGGCTTTCTAACTCTCGCTTCCATGTCGAATTTGTGTTAGGCCTGTGTGTAATAAGTACGGACCGCGGGCGGAGGCATTAGAGGAATCCCGCGGGAACGATCGGTATGGATGCATGAAAGACGCGGCGCGCCCCGTCTAACTTGTCGCGCGAAAAAGACACGGGCAAACTATTCCGGGGGCGCGGTAAAGTATAATAATAATATAATAATTTCGGTTAACAACGGTTTCACCGCGGAATTAATTAATTTCGCGGAGAAACAATTTTCTAATGGTCCCGTATAAATCTACCGAGTTCGAAATTATCTCGGAAAAGCGCTCGCGCAGGTGAAATCTTGAAGCGTAATTGAGCGAGAACCTCGGGGAGAAGCCTTTTCACCCCTTCCCCTCCCCCTCCCCCCGCACGAGGTCAGTTACCCTTCTGCTTACTCAACTAGCTTTGCAACAAGAACGGCGGTTATAAATTAATTACGAGGGTCAAATTCACAACTGGGTCCCATTCTGCTTGGGATCTGGGAAGGGGACGAATGTCTTTACTAGTTTCATTGGTAGCTCGAGGGACCCGCGTGTAAGGAGGAAGCGATGTTTGGTCTTCCTTCGGCGAGAGGGGGTCGCGCCGACCAGCCACGAACCTACGCCTGCCACTTACCGAAGGATAATAACGTAGTAATCCTACCATGAGACACGGATGAAGTCCTTAATAACCTCATAAGCCCAAGATATATCTTGCATATCAATATACCGAGAAGGAGAAGGGAGGTCAAGCGCGCGTCGTTACGTTATGCGTGTATTATACGCCCCGTTATATTTCGCTAATTAAACAAGCGATTCGCGTCAAATTCTATGACAATTGAAAGGACATTACAACAGCGTTAAAAGCATTATTTAAGCCGCTAATTGCACTCGATTAAGTGGTAAATGCTTCCGTCAATATTTCATACGAAATTAATTACGAAACGGATAATAAAGCAAATTTTTAATATTCTTCTATATATACATTTCTCTCATTAGTGTGTACTATATCGAGTTAACAACAACGCGCGCACCTCTCATATAAATCTATAATTTAGCTATAAATTTTGTCGGATAAATATGCATAGAAATAAATATAGCTTTGCGCATAAATTTTACACGGCGACCCGCGTTCATGTAAAGAGCACCGAAGGGGGATGATCGAAATCTGTTTTCGGCGCATCTGCGATATCGAGGACATAAACGAGAGCGATCGATAATTAATAAGTCGATTGTCGGCACCGAGGCGATATTTCATATCTGAGGGGATGAGCGCGCGCACAGCGGCGCCGCGCCGCGTTACATTTTTCCGCGTTCTCGCGAGCGAAACTATCAAAGGGGGAGAGGGAAGAGAGGGGAATGAGAGAGGGAGGGAGGGAGGAAAAATGATACGGCGATTCCGGGAAAAAATCGCAGCCCGCGGCGCGCGCCTCGGCCGCTTGTCAATTTTGCACCTTTCAATTCGATTTGGAAAGTATCGCGGGGGAAATAGTATCGAAATATCGTTTATACGTCTCTCTAAATCAGGCACTTCGTATCGGGCTTGTTGAGGTCGGTTGCATTCCTATCGCGCTATGCAACGTAACATGAATTTGCAGGAATTCACGATATAATCACAAATTAATTACGACGGCTTTATTGAAGTTCGCGGCGATTTTTGAAAATTTCCGGAAATTACGGAAGGCCGATCTGAAATTGGAATTCGCGATGCGCACGCTGCCCGCTGCAAATTTGTGTAAGTAACGCGATATGTAGTTCATTTAACGTGAAGTGCA